TATCTGGAAGATATTCTAAAAAATGAGTCTTTAAAGGTTTTGAAAGGGAGATAGCTCACAAAAATGATAAGAGGCATAAAATGAGTCCAAAAGAAAGCTAAAAAGATGTGTAATGATCGATAAATAATTGAAAGATATATAAAATTTATCAAAAATCAAAAGACGCCCAAAGTGTGCCAAATAACTAACAAGAGGCACAAAATGAGCCCACAAAAGAAATAAGCTTATTCTATTTTAAACCTTTAAATCTTAGAAGAATTTATGTGCCACTTGATAACTTCAAACAATTGATTTTTTGAAACTCGTGATTTTGATTAATTACTTTACAATATTATTTTATCAAATATTTTTTTGAAATGAAGTTTTGAACATATCACTTTTCTTATCTATTTTCTTTTATGAGTTAAATTTTTATTTTCAAAAGATTTTTACCCTATAATGATTCTGAGATGGGGTTAACAAGATTAGTTGTTTTACCATTTTTGGATTTCAGCGTTATAAAAGGGGGAGTAGTTTTTGAGGTTGTTTGCTTTTGTCTTTAGTGGAACCTACCTTGTCTTACTACTATTGTTTTATAGTTCGTTTTCTTTTTTTTTATAATTTAAAAATAAATAAATAAATAAAAATAAAAAATTGCTTGATCTAAAATTTTTAACAACAATATTTACCATCATAAAAATAGGGAGATTATTGTAAATATGAATTCAAATATCTTAATTTTGATGATAACAAACATTATTATTTCTTTACCACCGATTTTATTAAAAAATCTATTTTGTTTTTCTTGCTTACTAACCTTTCAAGTCGCAAGTATCACTTGCAATGCAAATCAACTCAAGATCAGGTAGATTAGAGTTGAGTTTGCTTGTAATTTCATATCAATGTATGCTTTACCTTTCTTAAGTCAAATTTTGAATATGGTGGACACCAAGCTAAGTAATTTTGTAAATACACACACTCAGGGGGAGAAATTTTATGAGTTAGAGATTTTTTTCTATTTTAGACCAAATTGTATAGGATGATATGAGATCATACTGAAAGATTAGTTAAAAATAAAAAATTTGATTAAGGCATCAAACTAATTAAAGTTATTAAAATAATTGTACTGGACAATCCATATCATCCAGGATGATAAGCTTAAATGATGAAAATAACCGTCAATAATAATTTAGGTAATGATTTAATTTTCAAATCTTATTCTAATCGTATAGGATGATATACATCATCCTATATGATCTATGACAATCATTCCTAAATTAATCTGATGATTAAGGGTGTAATTATGGTTAAATTGTTCAATCATATCGTAATAGGATGATCCATTATGATCGTACTGGATGATATAATATATTTTACAAGATGATCCCCTATCATTCAAAATGAAAAACCATAACTTTAATCATCTAGGAGGATCATCCCGGACATCCCGAGACATTTTCGAGATGATATAGAGATCGCCACCTATCGTCCATTATCATACTGGATGATTAATATGGTATGTTAAACTAATCATCTAGAATGATCTGTATAAGTACTTATACTAATCATACAGAGTAAAGGTGATCAACCTTACTGATGGGGCTTTCTGTACTAATCGTACAGGATCACCTGCCGATCGTCTTGGACGATCAGTTGCGTAGAATTTAAAATTAGTGCTTTTTTTAGGCTCTCTAGTTAAGTAATTGTATTAACCCTTGGGTTAATATTTTGCTGTGGAGTTTATCCAAGAGGGAGCTTATAGAAGGAAGAGGGAGAGCTTGAGAGAGAGAGATCATTGTGAGGGGGAGTTTGTGAGGGAATCACAAAAGTTACTCCAAGCACGGTGTTCATCATTTTCTTCGAGTTACTCCACTAGTTCCTTGGTGGCTCTGGGGAGATCATCTTTAGCATTAGATCCAGGTTCTCTGCCTACTCCATAAGGGAGTAAAAGGATCCCCGGGTTCTCTACTTTCATTAGGTGGGTAAAAAAGGATTCAAGATTCTCTGCCTCACCATGTCGGTGGAAAGATTTTGTAAGGGCTTTACCGCCTTGCTATGAGAGCAAAAGGAGAGTCTCTCCACTTTAGTGTAATACTTGGAGATAGAGTCTCCAAAGAGTGGACGTAGGTCAGATTTGACTGAACCACTATAAAATTTGATTTGTTCTTTCTTATTACTCTTACCGCATTTTATTTCCACACATTTCCGTGATTTGTTTTGTGATTGAAATATTTGATTTATTGTTATTATAAAAACTATTTTTCTTCGGCATAAAGAGTTATTATTTTGTTTTAAAATATTTAAAAAATCAAAAAGATTTTCATTTTATTTAATATTTTTTGAAACTACTAATTTACCCCACCCCCCCCCCCTTTTGGTTAGCTTCGAGCTAGTTCTTTAGGGTTTAACACTCCTCACGAACATTCAATATTTTAATATAAACTTTGTTACTAAACTCCTTAGGAATTTTAGAAGCTGGAATAGAGCCATTCTTAATATTAAAATCAATAACATTAATCTTATCAGGTGAGATATTGACTTAAGGACATGAATTAAGTTTGTGACCAATATTTCCACATTTGACACAAAATGAAATAATTTTTTCATGCTCTATCTTTTGGTAAAACCTACCACAAATTCCTTCCACCCAAATACCTCCCAGGAATTTAGAGTCAAAGTAAATTTGTACACAAATTCCATCAAATTCCCTCCTCCCCAATTTAAACATGTTTCCATCAAGTAACGTAGGAGTCCCAACTTTTGAAGCAATTTTTGTAACATTAAGTTCATCCCAGCATTGTAAAGTAAGAGGAGGATGACGAGTCCATATTGGTAATGAAAACTCTTTCATTGATAAAGCTAAAAACAATGGTGTCCATTTGTCAATTCTAATCATATGTCCAACGACAAACCAAAAACCTCCACTCAAAACTTCATCCATAGCTTCATTAGAATGGAAAGAACACAATATCCAGTCTAATATCAAGGATGTTAAATGAAACCCTCCAAATTTACTCCATTGTTCTCTTAAATCCATATTACAATATGGAAAAGGAATATTCTTTCCTAAAACTTTCACAACCAATAAGTTTTTCAATACTTGAGCATTACCAATTTCATTATTAGAATTAAGTTTAACAGCAATTCCATCATCTGACATCTTAGTAGAAACATAACTATAATTGATTCTAATATGAGGAGTTTTTTTTCCATGAATTAACAAAACTCTCATTTTGAATAGAATTCCTAATATAAAAAATACCACCAATATGATTATTATCACAATGCTCAATATGTTCAGCAACAATATTTAAGCCATTCTGAATTTTTTCAGAAGAAGCAATCTCAAACTTATGTGATAAATTTTCAATCACAAAAAAATCAACATTTGACGAATTACCACACATAAACCTGTTAATTTTTAAGTTCAAACCTGATGAAGAAGCTTCAAAATCATTCACTTTTGAACACTGAAAATTACTGCTCTTATACAACGAAGGATTAACCTTCAATACCTTTGAATCTATTATGATCTCCTTTCCTTTTCCTTCAACTAGAGCAATTTGATGAATAGGACGCAAAAATCCTTCTCTAATAACTAAAGAAGAATTTTTTATATTGTTTTCTTGAATCCTTCCGCGAGGTAACAAAAAAAATTATTTTTTGATACCTCCATTTCGCAAAGGAGTAACAACATCCTTGGAAGAAGATTGAAGAATAGTAGAAGAAATGGTAGTCGGCGTCATCCTTCGCCATAACAGACCTCCCGCAAAAAACAGGACAATGAAAATTTGAACTTTCAACAACTCTCTCTCTAGAAAACACTTAGACACTCTCTCTCTCTCTCTCTCTTGAAAAAGGGTGGCATGGTCTATCCAATTCTCTTTTAAAGAGGAGGACATTAGGGAGTGATGAAAAGTTTGAGTTGACCACTATAAAAATGGTGGTTTGCTTTTTTTGTTTACCTTTTTGAATTTTATTTCATGAAATCTTTATTTTCTGAGATATGTGGTTTGATCATATTTTCATTGCAATTATTCATAAGTTTTGATTATTAGTACAAAGTAAATTTATGCTGCATATTATTTTGTTGATCTTTAGTTAAAATTTTAAAGTAACCCATTCCCCTCTTATTGTGCCATAAAACTTTCATATTTTAATAAATACTTCAACATTCTCCTTTCCTTGACCTTCTAACGTAAAGGATAACAACATAAAAAGCATTTATCTAACAAACCTAGGCTTCGTTTGAGGTAGTTTTCTTAATTTGTTTATACAACAAATTTTTATTATAATTATTTTTAAAAGTATTGAAATAAACAATGATAAAAAAACTGTCTCAAATGAAACCTAAGATTGAAAAACTTATCTTTGCTCAAAAATACATCATTAGGAAAGTCAAGATTATGAGACTTACAAAGGCTTTCTTGCAAGTACAATTGTTGAACATAGACCTTGAATATTATGATCATACTCGCAATTAAAATTAGTATCCTAGGACTTGAAAGAATTTGGTAATTTGTAGAGAAATTTGATTTTGCAAACTTCTTAAAAATCTTATCATAAAGTTTTAACCAATAATTGGTAAGAAAAAAAAATAGAAAATAAAGAAATAGTAGTTAAATCTTATCAAGAATAACATGGACTAACACTGAAAACATAAGGATTATTTTGAACCATATTATAGATGCAGGGTTGTTTTGATTAAATATAAAAAAAAAGACATTGGCAGAAAGAACAAGACATAAATATAAGATCACATAAGAAGAATAAACATTAAACATGAGCAAATGCTTTTAAAAGATAAATCAATTTAAGAAAAATAAATGTAAAATTATACATAAAAACAATGTAAATTAAATAAAAAATTGGCATTAAACATGAAAAAGAACACATAATTTTTTATAAACCCTAAAATTTGAGGATGAATCAAATGAACCAAAAAATTTTGAAAAAAAAAATCAAAATTTTTTTATTAAACATACACATAGGATTTTGTTGGGAAATTTGAGCACCTTGCCACATTTAGCATGTTTGTTCTATTTGAGAAGGATATGGGAAGAGGCGAGAGCTTGCCCTTCCCCTATATATCTATGGAGAGAAGAAGAGAAGTGTTGTTTGTTATGATCTCTATAAGAGAAGGGAATAGGTGACAGCAATGACGAGTACCATGTGAGAACGAGGAGAAAGTAAGTCATGCAGAAGAGACGGCATTGGAGTGCATGTGAGCATTAAAAATATATTGATCTAAAGTCACCATTTATCCTCCATAATCGTATTTTGACGTCGTTAAAAATACTCATGCCTCCTGAAAAGCTCAAACTTAGTCGAAGGCAAACCTACGTATTGAAGTCCAGGTCGTTCTCATGTAAATCTTTACAAATGCGAAACTTGGTCTCTTCACCACAACATCTCCCGGTTGACCTTGATGCATTTGGCTGCATGTTGCCAAAATCCGGCGTTGATGTTACTTCCTGCAACAGAATGATTATTGATTTCTCAAAAGCCAGAGATTTTGTTTCCGCTCGTAAATTGTTCGACAATATGCCTGAACGAGATCTGGTCACGTGGAATTCAATGATGACAGTTTATTTCAGGAACGAATGTTGTAAAGAAGTGCTTGAATTGTTTTTGGCGTTGCAGATATCCCAGTTCAAGCCCAATTGTACTTCATTTTCGATGGTTTTAAATTCATGTGGAAAGATCAGAGCTTTAGTTCATGGGAGGACGATTCATGGGCTTTCCATAAAGATGCAAGCTTCCTCCAATTTGTTCGTAGGTACTTCTCTTATCACCATGTATTCGAGATGCAGTGTGGCCGATTGTTTGAGCAAGGTTTTCGAATGTATACATTACCCTAGCACTCCATCATGGAATGCATTAATATCTGGTTTTGTGTGGAATGGTCAGGTAAGCAATGCACGCGAGGTATTTGACAGAATGCCAATCAAGAATGTTGTGTCTTGGACTGCCATGATAAGCGGCTATGTTGAGGTTAAGAAGATGAGAATTGCGATCGAATTGTTTGAGGCAATGCCTGTTAAGAATCATGTATCTTGGTGCGTTATTTTGGGAGGGTTTGTTAATTGCAGACAATTTGATGAAGCTCTTGTATTCTTCTCAAAGATGCTGAGTTCTGGAGTTAGAGCTACTGTACCTAGTATCATCGTGGTAGCCAATGCTTGTTCCTTTAAAGGTAACCTTAAGCAAGGTTGCAAAATCCATGGTTACATCATAAAATTCGGGTTTCATCTTGATCAGATCATTGAAGCATCTTTGGTTTCTATGTATTGTCACTGCTTGGAAATGAAGGAAGCAGAGTTGGAATTCAGAAAGCTGGAGATGAAGTACATTGGTTCTTGGAACGCTTTACTATATGGTTATGTCAATAACAACAATTATAATATTTATGATGCTCGAAGGTTTTTTGATAGTATTGTCAGCAGAGACAATCTTACATGGAACTTGATGATCAATGGCTATTTAAAACATAATAAACTTGATGATGCTATGAAGTTGTTCTCGATGATGCCTGAACCTACTATGGAAGTTTTCACTTCTTTAATGTATAGTTTCATTAAAAATGGAAATCTGGAAGTAGCTGTGAAATTGTTCTATAGGATGCCTGAACGAGATGTTGTGGCTTACACAACTCTGGTATTTGGTTATTTGGAAAATGGCCAATTGGAGGAAGCCATGGAGCTTTTTAACAAGATGCCTGTAAAAAATGTGGTAAGTTATAATGTTATGATCTCTGGTTTGCTTCTCAGTGGAAAGACAATGGAGGCTTATTATCTCTTCAAAAAGTCTCCAGTGAAGGATGCTATTTCCTGGGATTCTCTGGTCGCAGGGTTTGTTGAGAATGGATTTTATACTGAGGGAATTCAACTTTATAAGAATATGTTATTATCTGATACAAGGCCTAGTGAGTTAATTATAGCCAGCCTTCTCAGAGCATCTGCAAGGCTATCCATAATTATGCATGGGGAGCAAATTCATGGGATGGCAGTCAAGCTAGGTCATGAAGGTTGCTTAATAGTTGGTAACTCACTAATTAACATGTACGGTAAATGCGGTAATATATTAATGGCCAAGTTTGTTTTTGACCAGATGTCAGAACGGGATGTTGTGGCATGGAATGCTATAATTCACAGTAATGCCTGTAATGGTTTTGGCAAGGAAGCAATTGTAATGTTTAAGAAAATGAAGATGAGCCAAATAAAGCCTGATGATATTACATTTCTTGGCATCCTTTTTGCCTGTAACCATAACTGCCTTTGGGAGGAAGCTCAAGGTTACTTCAACTCAATGGTGCATGACTATGGGATAAAGCCCAGTTTAGCACATTATGCATGCTTGATTGATCTCCTTTGTCGGATGGGCATGACCGAGAAGGCAGAAGAGTTGGCTCATTCAATGCCATTTGAGCCTGATTCTACTGTATGGACTTCAATACTGAGCGGTTGCACATTACATTGCAATGTCAAGTTAGCAGAACATGCATTTAATCAGCTGAACTTATGGGACCCCTTGGATCGGATGCCATATATGCATCTTATCAGAATTTATGAATCAATTGGTAGATGGTCTGATGTTGAACGCATAAGAAGTAAAATGAATGAACTTACATCCATTACAAGAGCTGGCTGCAGCTGGGTTTAGGTTTGCATTATGGTAACTCATATCATTGGATTAAAATTCTGAATAACTGCTATGGTGCAAACAATGTCATTCAAATTAATGTCATTCAAGTGTGATTCTGATGTGGAATTCAGTTGAAATGGTTGCTTGAGCCAGGAGGAGAAAGTACTATTTTTCAGCCGTATAAGATACAGGGACTGTTAAGATATCTGAAAAGTTAGAGATTTGGTGACATTATTCTAGCCTTGATTTTGTGGAAATGATTTATCAATGTAACGAAGCATGGAATTTCAAGTATATAAGTGCTTCCCAATGGCTCCCAACAAACAAATCTGTTTCATTTTGAAAACTACAGTGGTAAGATTTTGATTTGTTTACAATAAATTTTATCAATTGCTTGACATAAATATTTCAAATAAGAGAAAGAAATCTAAAAGCAGCTTTACTTGTGAACTCATGCTGTTGAGTCTTCTAGTTTGCATGATCTGGTGGTGCTGTAAAGCTGGAGCCTGCCTGAGCTAGGAAGTGTAAGTGCTGTTCATGAAGAGTTTTGTGGCGTTGCTTTTTTTGCATATTTGAAAATTATTCCTCGCGTAACCACATTAGTATTGCTTCAAGTATGACTTCAGCGTGTAACCGTGTTAGTGTGTCCTATGGTGAATAGTGCATGTGCGAGCTATGTGTCCTAACATGCCACAAGAGTAACACCTAACACCAAGGAATGAGTTTACTAATCTATGTGGGTGATGACGTCTATTTTTAGGTTTATGTGATGCATACTGTGTTGAGGGGTTGTGCCACTGAGTTAGTGAGGGTGATGATTTATTATTCTCAAGTGCAGTAAATTTTTGCTCTCAAAAATTCATTTGTATTTTTATAGCTTGCCACTTCTAGTTTTAGTGCATGCTCACTACTATGTAATTAACATGCAAATTCTTCTAATTCCTTAAATGTTCTTTCTAGCTCAATATGTGATGTTTTTTTAAGGAATTGTGTGCATTGGATAGGTCAATATGTTTCTTATTTAATGCATCAAACTCATCTAATAAAGTCATATGTTTGCTATCTAAAATAGAGTGCTTGATAATTAAACTAGCATGCTCTTTTTGCAAAGTAGAAAATTCAGTATTAAGACTAACATGTATCTTCTTAAGCTTCTTATATGAGTCATGAATTTTTTTCAAAAATAATAAACACTTCATCATAAAAGAGTTGATATGTCTCATCTTGATTTGATTGATCAAGATTATCGTTAACTATAAGACACAAATTTGTTACCTCCTCGTCTTCTTCTTGTTCTAATGATTCTAAGGCAGAGTCAGCACAAAAAGTTCTTTGTGTCTTTTGTTGCCCCTCTTATACTTTTGCTTCTCTTCACCTTTCTCCTTATTCAAGTGAGTATTTAGGTTAGGGAAGTCAGCTCAGAGGTGGCATGACTTCCTGCACTCAAAGCAAATTGTATCAGATGAAATTTTAGTAGACTTTTGGCTTTTACTTTTGCTCTAGTTGTTTTAATGATGCATATATTTTCTTTTCAGAAAGCTCTTGAACTGGCACGTCATCAAGGCTATTTCGTCATCCTCATTCACTGCAAAACTATCATTGTCATAATCATTTGCTTTTGGCACTACAATTCTCTCATTCTTCTTCTCTCTTGTAGCACGTTACCTTCGACTCACTCCTTACTCGTAAGCAATGAGTGACCCAAGCAAATTATTAATAGAATAAACATTTATGTCTTTAGATTTAGTGGCTGCAATTATCTTGGCATCATAAGAATTAGGTAAACAATATAGAATCTTATTAACCTTTTCAAAATTTGATAGTTTTCTACCTAGTGCATGCAATAATGTTACTATCTGGGTGAACTTAGTGTACATTTCAGATACAGTTTCACTAGGTTTTATGCGAAAAAGTTCATAGTCATGCAAAAGGATGTTTAGTCTAGACTGTTTAACTTCACTGGTTCCATCGTAGGTGATACACAACCTATCCAAAATCTCTTTCCTGGCAGTGCATGTAGAAACTTGCATATAGTTTTCAGATTTTAAAGCACAAAAGAAATAATACAAACATTTGGCATTTAACTGTGTGAGTTCCCTATTCTCATTACTCCATTCAATAAACGAAATATCAATTTTAACATCATTAACTACAAATGATAGAACTGAATAGCCACTTTAGATCATATGTCAAATTCTATAGTCAATGGATTGTAAAAAGGTAGACATGCGTACTTCCTAGAAATCAAAATTGATATTTTTAAATAACGGTGGACGGGTTATAAAATAACTCTCCACAGTGTTACGATCACCAAAATGAGCCATTGATCGATTTTTTCAAAAAAAAATTAAAACCTTATTTTTGAAATCTCGCTCTGATACCACTTGAATGTTTGTGAATGTTGTTAAATCTTATAAAACTAACCCGTGACTCATTAAGAGGAGGGTGCATTTGTGCTTTAAAAAAAGTTCTTTAACTTCAAAATAATAATAACAATATTTTTTAAAAAAGATTTTTAATAATTGAAATTATCAAAATCTAATCGATTGCGAAAGCGAAAAACTTTATCACAAATATTAAAGTTTACTACGATGAAATTTTAATATACGTCACGAAGCAATAATAAACATTTTTTTCCAGGCAGCTATAAATGGAAATAAAATGAAGGAAATATAAAAGTGCGAAAAGAAAAAAATACACCATCAATTTTTATAGTGCTTTGATCAACGTTGACCTAAGTTCACTCCGAGGAATCCTATTGTTGACCTATGTACAAAAGAACAAAAAGAGAGAAGAACGCAAAAAAATGAAAATCCCGCTTACATACCTCGTAACCATTGGATCCTTAAATTCTGATTCAGCGCCGTTCAAGTCTCTATCCCGCGATTCCTGCTAAAACCCCGCTTAAGGAGGTTCATTGGCGTCATTAAATACCCAACCAAATGAAGCCTGTCACTACTTCTCTTCTCTTCGCACTCCACTACCGAAGCCCTCACTTCTCCCATTTCCTGTATATGAAGCCCTAGCTCCGACTCCACCCCAACCTCGCTCTGAGGGCATCTCCAACCGAAAAACTCATTTTTCACTCCAAAATGCAATAATACACCAAAATGCAGTAACTTGTCTCCAACCGAACTCCATTTTCTAACACCAAAAAAAGAATATTCCTAGTATAATCTTCTCCATATTTCATTTTACATATTTTTAATCATTAAAAAAAAAAAGGCAAATGGCGGGTGAACAGAGCGACGCCAAATATTGCGTCGCACTGTTCACTGGCGACCTTATGACGTAGAAAATAGCGCTCCGTTGGAGCGACATTGAGCACGGCAAACACTCGTTTGCGTATTATGCAGATGCCCTGACTCTACCCAAACCAAGACTGACCGACCCCATCTCCCTGCTGCTTCGACCTAGCAAGCCGCAAGCCTTTCGCTTCATTCGTCCACATAGAGAGAGATAGAGAGAGATCCCTACCTCTTCCATTGTTGGCCGACGCCCCCTCTCCTATTCAAATCAGAAGTTACGGCATTTTGAGTAGAAGTAGCATGGGAGCTCGCTGTGAAGGTAACTTTCTTCCTTTCCAACGCTTCCTGGGCGAAATCCTGTAAATCTGCCTTGAAATGAAGTAAATGGAGGATTTATTCAGCCATGAGATTTACGGGCCCTTAGGGATCTAACAAAAATCCTGCTCAAACCGTGCATAATTCCTTTGCCAAACAGCACCTAAACTATATTCATTTCTATGATGTTTGATTAGCTCAAATATTGTTTAAATCCCATAATTAATTATGGTTATTCATAATTAATTGTTATTAATTATAAATAATTAAAATTGATTATTAATTAAGATTAATTTAATTAATTATATTTAATTATTCTTTAATCTTAATTGAAAATATTTATAATTATTTATAATTAATCATTATTAATTATAAATAATTACAATTAATTACCAATTATGATTAATGTTAATTAATTATAGTTAATTATTATTTTTATCTTAATTAATAATTATTTATTATTATTCATAATTAACTATTATTAATTAAAGACAATCATGATTAAATGCTAATTATAATTAATTTAAATTAATTATATTTAATTATTTTATTAATCTTAATTGATTGTTATTAGTTATAATTAATTAGTTTAATTATAATTAATTATTTTTAATTAAAAATTAATTAGTATTAATTATAATTAGTTATGATTAATTTTTATTAATTATAATTAATGAAAGAAAGGAGAAAATATGCCTCTCTCCTTCCCTTCCCTCGATACAAGTGCCCTTCGCCTCACCGGAATGTTAAGGTATAAGTTCCTAAATCCTAAAACTTCGAGAACCTACTTTCGACACTTGCAACGTGATAAAACGACCTCCTATACACGCTTTTCTTAGCGTGGTGGGAGGAAGTTCATCGCGGTGCTCTCGACGAATCGGGTGATCACCTAAAGTCCCTTCTTTGAAGTTCGTAGCGCACTGGAAAATCGTCTATACACGCTTTTCTTAGTGTGGTTGGATGGGAACCCGGTGCGATGTGTATGACGAAGTGGGGATACTCAAAAGTACTTGCTTGCGGGAAAACAACTGTTTCCTTTTTGCAACAGGTACTAAAGACCCATACACGCTTTGCTTAGCGTGGTGGCAGACGAAATAAAATACGGCCGCGATGTCCTCGTCCAAGAACACCTACCATACACGCTTTTCTTAGCATGGTGGGAATGTCTATTTTCCCGTAGTTTTCCCCTAAATGGGAGAGACATCGGGAGGCTGTCAAAATTTCAAGTGAATATGAGCTGTACTTGGACTTGATTTGCACATCAAATGAACAAAGATTTAGATTTAAATTTGATTGGATCAAAATGACTTAAGTGAACTCAAACAAATCTAGTAAAGAACTTGAAAATAAATAAAGATTTGGACCTAAATGAATTCAAACTTGAATTTGATTTGAATATCAAGTGAATCATAATTTAAGCATGACTCAAGGAGCTAAGACTTGAACACAAATGAACCAGAACTCAAGTTGGACTTGATTTGCATATTAAGCATGACTTGAACATTTGAACTTGAGCAAAGATTTGACTTAGACCACAGAAGACTTGTATTCGAACATGAACTGGACTCAAATTTGACATTGAACTTAAACTAAATTACGAATTCAAGTTAAATTCAAAATGAATTGATCTCGAATGCAAAGGACCACATAGAACTTGATGCAAGAGAACTTGAACTCAATTTTATGAAATGAGATTTTAACTTAGCAAACACTCCATTATATCAATGCAAATGCTAAGTAAAGACCTAGATCTTTCTAATGAATATTAATGATCAAACAAAAGGCTTGTGGATTTCAATATATCATGCTTATAATTGATTTAAGCTAATTGCAATAAGTGTAACATCTTTGACAAGCATAGATTGAATGAAGAAATGTAGTGTATCTACTAGCAAGTGTAAAGAGAATAGTGGACTGTAGATGGTCGTTATTTGCCCACAAATGAAGAGCAAGTGATCTCTGATGAACAAAGAGGATTCATGTATGGACAGGAAAGGCCGCTACAAAGAACCTTGAACATCACTAACCCATAAGTCGTAGTATGAAATCTCTAATGAATGTTACAATTCATCCATGATGATTATACCAATCAAAATGCTAATCACAAGTAGCAATAATGATAATGTTATAACTCATGTTATAAGCCGTCAAGCAATGTAACGAAGTGATATGCTAGTTATTATGCACAGTGAAAGCAATATGCTTGCAAGCAAAGCAAGAGGATTATGAAGGGCATAACCTTCTTTCTACCAACGTTGATTAATTGACAGATAAATATACAATTGCCTATCTACAAACAATCATGGCTAATGTGGTCTATTGGAAAGTAGCAATAATTAGGATACTTATGAATGCAAGAGGTCATAAGCAAAACATAGAAGAAATTGTAACAAATGAAAGTG